AAAAATTTTTAAAAATATTAATTATTTATAAAAGTAAATCAGAAGAAAATTTATAGTAAATAAGCAGGCAAATTTGCCTGTAAAACCTTATGATTTAAGGGATAAAAAATTAATAAAATTAATTTTTTATTAATAAATGTCATGCTTAACTTTTAGAATAGCATTTTATTATTAAAAATTAGTTTTTTTTTAATAATAAATGCACCTTTAACTTTTAAAATAGAGTTTATTATTAAAATATAATAAACTTTATTTTTTAATTATAAATGCTATCTTTAATTTTCAGAATGTAATTTTTTTATTTCAAATCCAATAAATTGGATTTGAATTTAAATTCAAATTTAATAGATTGAATCTGAATCCAAATCTGAATCTATCAAATTAAATCAAATCTGAATTTGAATCCAATCTGGATCTAATAAATCGAATCAAATTTAAATCTAGATCTGAATCTAATTTGAATTTAATAAATCTGATTTAATCTGATCTATCAAATCTGGATTAGATTCAGATTAAATTAGATTTTTTGCAGAACACTATACTCATCTTATCTTAAAAATATTTTCATTATTATGTTTTCTTTGATGAAGTAATGCTCTATATTGATTAGAAGAAGATTTATTTTTATTTATATAAATCATTTTGTTAAAATTTAAAGTCTAAAGATTGATAATATTTTTGATAGTAAAGAAAATTTTAAGAAGAAAAGATAAATTTAAAAGAGGATTTTTATATTTAAAAAATCATTATGAGAAAATTTTAATGTCATAGAAAATTTTTTTTTGCAAAAAAATAAATAAATGACTATTAGTATCTATTGGTTGATAATAATCATTAAACAAGAAATTTGTAAAATATAATAAATTTTGTTTATGGATTGATAAAAACAATAATCAAAATAGAAGGAAAATTAATCTATGATAAAAATGATGTAACAAATCTTTAGAATCATCATAAATATAATATTCAAGCTTAATTTGATATCTGCATATTCAAAGTATAAAAAAATAAAATTTTTGATTTGAATATTGTTATTTTTTATTTTTTTTATTTTATTCAAAATTTATATGTTATTTCAAATTCCTTAATAATTCTATATATATCAATTTTCTAAAAAATTATTATTTTTTTTGATACTTTACTAGACACGCGTCAGTGAATAATATTGGATGCATATCCTTTAACAGAATGATATAACTTATATATATATATACACCACTATAATCACCTTTAGTATAATTTTTAATCTAATGTGAATTTACGTTAAACTTAAATGTCACTACTTGAGTAGATTGTCATATTACTAAACTGCATAATAGAATATATAGTACCTGTTATTATTTACATTTACCACTACTACTAAAAAGAGAATCAAAAACAACCTAAAATGATAGCTTAAACTATAGTTGCTTTATCATATGAAAAGTTTGCTAGGAAAATAGGATTCTGAGACATTTTTTAAAAAATTGAAATTTTTGATACATATTAATCTATAACTTATAAACTTTAATTGGTTAAAATTTTATATTACATTAGCTTATTTTCAAAAAAAAATTATAATATTGAAAGTTATTACTTAGTAAATCTAGAAATAGATTTTTGGAAATAATAAACATGTTTAATGTACTATTTAGGAAATGATCAACAAATTACATCTTAAAAAGTATTTAGCTAATAATTTATATCATATGATATATATCACATGACTTAAAAATAGATCGCCTCAAATTTAAAGCTAGTTTTTTGTTTATTTTGATTTTTTAATTTATTCAAAAAAAATTTTTAGTCTCAGAGCCCAATTTTTCTAGCAAATCTCCTATATGTCAAAATTATCTCAAGAATCAAACTCAGATTTCTAAACCCTAGTTATAATATAGACACTATGATGATTAAAGATAGTATAATATCAATCACCTATAACCTGCAACTATTATTCAATTCAAATTATACAATACTTACCATTGATCCTACCCTCATAGGTACTATTTGCAGATGATATGACACTTGTTCATTATAGACTAATCCCTTAAAATAGATTCTAAACTCAATTAGTTCACTATGCATCAAGTTACTTATTACTATTACTTGTTATCAGAATGGTGTGTAAACAAAGTGATCTTACATAACTTATGTTGTGAGAGCTATTATCCTCTATGTAAATAACTATCAAATGGTTATTTAATTCTACAATTTTGTGATCTTCAATATATATAGTTATACACATCCTATGAAATTCATTTTCAAAATTAAATCGGTAAATCCTGTAAATTAATTTATTACTAGCTGCCTTAGCTAGAGGCTGAACTAGGATCTATTACAGTGTAATTAACAATGGGATTTCAGTTGTTACCAACTAAGATAGGGTGGTGATTCCTCTTCTAAAAAATTTAAAAAAATAAATCATTATAAAATATATGGAATTATGATACAGAATCATTAAATACATATAGAAACCTTATAATAAATGTATTATTTTCTTATTTAGATATCTTATAGGATTAATCTATATGAATACAGATACAAAAAAAAACAGTAGAAATCTAAAATGAATTGATTATAAAAAGAATTTGTGATGATGACAAATCTAAGTTAATAATATAAGAAATTAACTTGATATCAAAGGTTAGTAATGATAAAGAGTCAGTTAAATTGATTTTATTAGAAGTGTTAGATTAAGATTACAGATTTTTTATACAAGATAAAAAGAAAAAAAAATTGCTGATTTATGATTAGAAGTTATTTTAAGTAGATATAAATCTAAAAAATTATCAAAACAACTATTATTTAATTTTCAAATTGCAAATTAATTACTTGAAATTATTTAAAATTATTATTAAATTTAAGCCAATCAAAATGGGAAATGATCGACATACAAATTGACCAATCATACAAATGTCTGCTATGTTGAGGATATATTTTTTTTCTATTTTTTATTAGTTTTAATTAATTATAATTAATAATTAATTTACTGTAAACTTTAAATTTATTATAAACTATTTTTATTTCACAATATTATAATTTGAATTATTTTAATGTAAAAGAAATATAATTAATAGTCAATTATATATTTTTTATTAATCAAAAATATATATTAAAAAAAAATTAACCTATTATTAGTTAAAATAATCAATCATTTATAATTTTAAAGAATTTATTATTTAAGAATGAAAAATCAAGAGACTTTATTAAATTATTTGTAAATTTATTTATAGTAAATTTCATAAGAATTTTAAATCAAATGTAATGATCAATTATTAAAACCAAAATTTTTAAAAATTAAATAGTAAATTTGTTTTTCGAAGCAAATATATTTGAATATTTCCAGGAAAGTAACTTGGTGGCTTTATAAAACTAATTTTCAACTTTTAAATCTCGCATAATGCATATATGACCTACAAAACTTATGATTCACTAACGAAGAAAATGTTTTAGAATCCACGCAGAAAAATATCATCTCGTAATGAAAATCTTTAGATTTGTCAATAATTCAAATCATACCATAAAGGGAAATGGATAGAATGTCAAACAAGCTGATCAATATGAAATCCGTTATCTATTTCACTATAAGTACATCAGTTATTTTCCCATCTTCATTTTTTATAAAATGTTACTTTTCAAAGAATTCAATCTGACAATTTTAGAACTTTTAATCCTCCTAAATACTATTATTTTATTGTATATTTTAAAATTTTATTATGATTATTTCACCCGTTCATTCCCATATCCGGGGCCACTTCCGTTACCTATAGTAGGTAACTTACATCAATACTTTTATAATAAGAATGACATTCCATCCTGGTTTCACCTATTGAATTTGAAATATGGGGATGTATTTGAGTTGTATTTTGGTTCTAATAAACATTTGATGATTAGTAATTCACGAGTAGTCGAGCGAATAATGACACCAACAAAGGATTACTTTGTGCGTGTTAGAAACGGATTAGATGATTTACAAAAGGGCAATATCGGAATTTTATTTAATGCGGATTTCAACTCTTGGTCCTATGTTAGAAAAGTCTTTAATAGAGTCGCAGGATCACCCAATGCCTTAAGATTTGCCGTAAAAATGGTAGATAACATCTTTCAGGATTTGGAAAAGATATGGAACAGTTTGATTGAAGAGCAAGGTCAATTTGTGAATAATGAGCAAGAAAAATCTGTAGAAATTGATTTTGTATCTTGGTCAAAAAGAATTTTCGCGGAAACTACAATGATACAGACAGCCAGACAACACCCTAACGTATTATCAGCTTACTATAATAGGATCACAAATAGAGATCTTGATAATATTCAAAGCATAAATGAAGAATTTTTGGACCGTTTGTTCATTGCAACTGATTGTGTGCAACATTATTTAACAATTCCACCATTTATACGTAACCTTCCGATTATAAATACTTATTCAAATTATTTATACGAGAATTTGATGTGGACGAGACATTATGCATACAATTTGGTCAAAGATCGTAGAAAAGAAATTGAGAACATTGAAGATAAAGAGAAGTTATCACCTGATATGTTAAATATGTTATTGACCGCTAATACGCCAAACGATATTATTCAAAGTATTTCTAATGAGAGCAATAAGAAACCTATGTCAGATGAAGAAGTTGGTGATATTATTGTTGAGATATTTAGTGAAGGAATTGATGGTGTAAGTATTAATATCAATTATATATTTATTTTTATATGATGAAATATTGTTAAAGTTTTTTTTTAAGGCCTCAAATACCTTAGCATTTATTCTTTATAACGTTGGGAATAATCCGGATGTTGAACAACGTATCCTTGATGAGATTGAAAAGGTATTTGATTATCGAACTGATTTTAAGATTTCCTATGAAGATTTGAATAAACTTGTATATGTTGAAGCTGTAATAAAAGAAGGTGATTATCCTTTTCGAATCTTTTAGTCACATCGATTAAACATTATTTAATTTAACCGTGCAGTATTTTCCTAGTGTTAAGAATCAGGCCAGTTACATCAACGATTTCGCGCTTCTTAAAACATTCCGATAAAGTTGACGAATATAATATTCCATCATCAACACAATTGGCGATTAATATTGTGAGTTTACATAAGAATCAAAATTACTGGAAAGAACCTACTAAATTCAGTCCCTCAAGATTTTTAGCTAGCAGCAATAACGATGAAACTTATAATAAAAGTACACTCATGAACTTTGGTGGTGGGTTGCGTATGTGCCCAGGCAGGCATTTTGCAATGGTTCAACTCAAAATGATGATTGTTTTATTATATCATAAATATAAATTCGAAGTGGTTACTAAGGATCCTCTAACACAATATAATGTTAATATTCAATGTAAAGAATTGAAAATTAGAATTAAACGGAAATAAAGTTAAGATTAATTTAAAAAGCGTAAATATTTATTTCCAACTTCATAATTTGAATCCACGTGTCAATTTTAACCAGCTAATTCGGTGGGCGAGTTGGTCTCTGGATATTTATTTATGAATAATACACTTTCTTCGTCAGAAAATTTATTATCAGTACGTGATTTTCCTGGTTTATAAAAAAACATATATTATATTTCCGTGTCTTTCCACTTCCCTAGCAAACCTTTGCCTCGAATCATTTTATTATAATTATATAAATATTTATTAATTAAATCCAATTTGATTTTATTCTTTATTTTTATTATTGAATAGAAAACATATAAAAAAATAATTTAATATATTAAATCAAATTTTTATTTTTTTGAAATTTTTAATGCTGTTTTTTTTAACAAGTAAAAATTAATTATTTTTTATAACTGATAAACAAAAAAATAATAAAATTTATTTTATAAATTTACTTAAAATTAGCATTTAATTTAATATTTTTAAATAATAATTATAATGTTACTAAATAATTAAATTTTAGTTATTGGTTATATTACAAATAATATATATTTTTTTATATAAAATTTAAAATATAAGATATTTACAATTTGTATAACCTTATAATATCATGAATTTAACTGTTAAAAATATAATGATTAAAATTTCAATTTTATTACATTTAAACCAAAATGTAATAAGATATTAATTTTAGTCAAATATTTTCTCAAAACTGATTTTTTTAGATCACAACCTATATGTTATATTTTATTTGTTTATTTACAATAATGAAAAATCGATTTATTTGATAATTTCTTATAATAATCTTTAATTAATCTTTATTAATATATATATATAATAAATAGTTTTTTAGTTAAATCATATAAAGTAAAATAATAAACCAATTTTTTTATATTATAATTATTTACTTTAAAAATTATTATTTTTTTATTAAAAAATATTAATATATGTCTTGATTATTTATAATCTAAATAATAATTATTATATAGATTAATAATTTATAATAAAAATAATGTTATAATTACTAAAAAAATATTGTAAATATATTTATTAATATTATAATTAAGTTACAACTCAAGTAAAATTTAAACCAATTATGAAAACCATTTTTACTTTACAATAAAAAGAAAGAAAACATTAAATTAATATAAAATTTAAACTTATTATATCAAAAAAAAATTTTACTTAAAATACAAAATAAAAAATTTTAAAAAAATATAAAAAATATATCAAGTAAAAAATAATAATTTTAACTTTTATAATTATAATTTATATATTTATTCTAAAATATTAAAAGAAAATTATAGATTTAAATAATACTTATAAGCATAATGTGAAAAGGTATAGCAGGTTTTATTTAGTAATTAAGTTGTGAATCTCTTATATTATATAACTTTATTATATATGCTATAGGCCATCAGTTCTGATCTTAACTAAAGTATAAAATAGTATGATTTTTATAAGAATTTTATTATAGCTAAATTGATGAACATGTATACTAATATATGTATAAATCTAGTTAATTAATTCATAAATTAATATTAATCATAATTAAATATTGCAAATGAAGTTTAAGATTAACAGAAACTTAACTTTAGCTAATAGGTCTATATATCTAAAATTTAAATAGAACATAGTATTCGATAGATTATGATTTTATAATATTTCAGAAAATTTGCAAATTTATAAGTTTATAAGATTTGTAAAATATTATTTTTTAGATCATAGGATTTTACAAGCAAATTTATCTACTTATTTACTATAAATTTTCTTCTGATTTACTTTTATAAATAATTAATATTTTAAAATATTTTTTTTAAATTAATTTTATAAATATGTAATATAATTTATATATTATTAAATTAAAGAATTTAGTATAATACTAAACTGCAAAACTTGCTTAAAAACTGTATTTTTATATAAAATATATATATTATTATGCCAATTCTTTAAATCGCTCAACTTAAATAAGTGATATATGTACAAATACAGAAGATTTTCTTTGTAGATAAGATAAGAAATATTTAAAGATTTATAAATGTAATAAAAATACGATAAATACGCATAAGATAAATAATTAACAAACAAAATTATAATACTGCCTCTATTAGGATATCTGTACTAAACAGTATTTATTATATATTTTATAACTACTAAAACAAACTTAAGGAACTTCTAAGAAAACCTATGAAAATTTATCGCTACTTAATTCTAAACTGCTTTTATTTATATATAAAATATTCTATATATCGTTATAATAATTTAAATAAAGAAATACAGAAAAATAAGATAATAAATAAAATAGATAAAATAAATACAATAAAAGTAATAAAATAAATAAATAAAATGAATTAAATAAACTATGATGTTAATAGACTAATTAATTTTATTATCATTTTAGGCAATCAATCATTTCATTACTTAATTTATGTATTAATTTGATGATCAATTTTTGTAACACTAATTTGATTGATTGTAGATCATTTATAAATCAATTTTGCAGATCTAATTTTAAAGGTAATATTATTCTTCTCCTACATTTTGCATTTTCGCAAAAATGTTAGTTGCTTTGTTGATTAATTGATTGAGCCGAGACTTAGTTATTCTGAGAAGTAAGATAAAGGAGATATTCTGAGATTTAGTAAGTTGAGATGTTTTCAAGTTTTCATAGAGATAGTAAAGTCGAACTGAATCATGGTAAAAATGTTGAGTCAATTTCCTTATATAAATAGCATGAGTAGTAAGATTATCTAAAGTTTCTAAAAATTCATCTAAGTAAAATACATTAACAAGAAAAAGTATTCTATTATTTATTCACTTTGCTTTAAACATTATTCAAGTAATTATTGAGTATTTTTTATCTAAGGTCATTTTATCAGTATAAGGTTCATAGGAAGACATTCATATGATTGATCAGATAGGTTACACAAATTTTACATTACAATACTATAATTTTTATATATAATCACATAACATCGTCGTTTCTAAAACTTAAAAAACTTCACCAATACTTTTTAAATTTGCAAATTAACAATAAAAAAATTTTTTTATTATTTCTGTCTCTTTGAAAGTAGATAAACAAGTAAATTTGATTTAGATTTCCTATTATAATTATTATATCAGTTCATTTTACAAGTATTTAAAATAT